TTAGTGTATTTTTGAGGTTCATCCAGATTGTAGCATGTATTGATACTTCATTCCTTTTTTTTTTTTTAATTTATTTATTTTTGAGAGAGAGACAGAGAGAGCGAGTCAGGGAAGGGCAGAGAGAGAGAGAGAGAGAGAGAGAGAGAGAGAGAATCCCAAACAGGCTCCACATTGTCAGCACAGAGCCCAACACAGGTGCTGAACCCACAAACTGTGAGATCATGACCTGAGCCATAAACCAAGAGTCAGACGCTCAACCAACTGAGCCACCCAGGCGCTCTGGTACTACATTCCTTTTTTATGGCTGAATAATATTCCATCACGTGCATATATCATGAATCGTTTATCCAGTCACCTGTTGATGGACATTTGAGTTGTTTCCACCTTTAGGATATTATGAATAGGCTGCTATGATCATTCTTGAAAATGTATTTGAGTATTTGTTTTCAATTCTTTGGGGAAATACCTAGGAGTAGAATTGCTGGGTTGTACAGTAATGCTTACTTTTTTTGAGAGACCAACAGCTGTTTTCCACCAGCAGCATACAAAATTCCTATTTCTCCACATTGTACTCAACGCTGGTTTTTCCTTTAAAAAAAAACCTTATACCTGGACTGCCTGGGTGGCTTAGTTGGTTAAGTGTCCGACTTCAACTCAGGTCATGATCTCACTATTCATGGATTCAAGCCCTGAGTTGGGCTCTGCACTGCCAGTGCAGAGCCTGCTTGGGATTCTCTCTCTTCCTCTTCCTCTTTCTCTCTCTCAAAATAAGTAAACTTAAAAAAAAATAAAACATACCCATCATAATGAATATGAAGTAGTATGCAATTTTCTTTTCACTCAGTAAACATTTACTGAGTGTGTCATATGTACTAGGTATAGAAATTAGGGCTAGAGTGTCTTTTTGTGACTGGTTTATTTCACTTAGCAACTATCTCCAAGGTCCATCCATATTGTAACATATTACAGAATTTCCTTCCTTTTTAAGGCCACATAACAGTCCTTACATGTATATACATTTCGCTTATCCATTCATTAATGGATGGCTATTGGGTGGCTTCCATTTTTGGGCTATTGTGAATATTGGTGTTATGAACATGGGTGTGTACAAATATCTCTTTGAGATCCTGCTTCCATTTCTTTTGGATATATACACAGAAGTGGAATTGCTGGATCATATGGTAATTCTATTTTTAATTTTTTGAGGAGCCACCATATTGTTTTACACAGTGGATGTACCATTTTACATTCCCACCAACAGTACACAAGGGTTCCTATTTGTCCAAATCCTCCCTAGCCCTTGTTTTGTTTTTTAGATAGTAGCCATCCCAGTGGGTGTGAGGTGGTATCTCATGGTAGTTTTGATTTGCACTTCCCCAATGATTTATGGTATTGAGCATCTTTAATTAAAAAAACAACAACAACCTTTTTTTACAGTTACTTATTTTGGGGGAGGGGGAGGAGAGGAAGAGAAAGGGAGAGAGAGAAACCCAAGCAGGCTCTGTGCTGACAGCACAGAGCCCAATGTGGGGCTTGAGCCCACAAACTGAGAGATCATGACCTGGGCTGATATCAAGAGTTGGATGCTTAACTGACTGAGCCACCCAAGCGCCCTGATATTGAGCATCTTTTAATGGGCTTATTGGCCACTCAGATATCTTCTTTGGAGAAATGTCTGTTCAAGTCTTTTGTCTATTTTTGAATTGGATTTTTGTTGTTGAGTTTTAGAAGTTCTCTACGTATTCTGGATATTATCCCTTATCAGATATATGGGTTGAAAATACTTTCTCCCTTCTGTGGTTACCTTTTTACTATGCAGATAGTGTCTTTTGGTGTGAGTCTTTGGTTTTATTTTTTTTTAATGTTTGTTTGTTGTGTGTGTGTGCGTGTGTGTATGAGAGAGAGAGAGAGAGAGAGAGAGAGAGAGAGAGAGTCCCAAGCAGGCTCCATGCTGTCAGCACAGAGCTTGGAGCTGGGCTCTATTGGGACACTTAACCCACTGAGCCACCCAGGCATCCCAGTCTTTTTTTTAATGTTTTGTAGAAACACCAGTGAAGCTATGTGGTCCTGGGCTTTTCTTTCTTTTAAGACTTATTTATTTTGAGAGAGAGACAGAGAGACAGAGAGAGAGAGAGAGAGAGAGAGGGAGAGAAGGTGTGAGTGGAAGAAGGGCAGAGGGAGAGAATCTTTTTTTAAATTTTTTTTTAATGTTTATTTTTGAGACAGAGAGAGACAGAGAGTGAACGGGGGAGGGTCAGAGAGAGAGGGAGACACAGAATCTGAAGCAGGCTCCAGGCTCCGAGCTGTCAGCACAGAGCCTGATGCGGGGCTCGAACTCACAGACCATGAGATCATGACCTGAGCCGGTCAGACACTTAACCGACTAAGCCACCCAGGCACCCCGGAAGAGAGAGAATCTTAAGCAAGCTCCATGCTCAGTGCAGAGCCTTATGTGGGGCTCCATCCTACAACCCTGGGATCATGACCTGAGCCGAAATCAGGAGCCCAACACTCAACCAACTGAGCCAACCAGGCACCCTGGGAGTTTTTTGAATACTGATTCAATCCCCTTACTAGTTGTAGGTCTATTCATGTTTTCTTTCTCTTCTTTGAGTCAGTCAGTGTTGTTGGTTTCTATGTTTCTAGAAATTTGTACATTTTAATTAGGCTATCCAATTTGTTGGTGTACAATTGTTCACAATCCTTTCTATTTCTGTAAAATTGGTAACAACGTCCCCATTTTCATTTCTGATTTTAATAATTTGTCTTTTTTCTCTTAGTCAATTTATTTAAAAGTTTGCCAATGTTGTTGGCCTTTTCAGAGAAGCAGCTCTTGGTTTTCTCTGTTTTTTAGGATTCTGACACCAATTCCAATGTGTGCATTTATTCCACACCACAAAGCAGTTCTCCAACACTAACTGGGAGTCTGACAATTCAACTCAATTCTGAAACTACCTGGAGACAGCATCAGATCCACTGCCTGCCTTGAAATCAGTCAGCCGCTTTTGGGGAGCTGCTATCCCCATAACCCTGAGGAATTGGGGATGGTGGCTGGTTCAAGCCCCACTCTTCCTTCATCAAGTACTTTCCTTGTTGTCTGATCGGGTACCAGAGTTCTGAAATAGTTGATGACAATCGCTTTTTCCAGCTCTTTGTGTTTAGGTCTGTCATAGTTGTTTTATTGTTGTTCTGTAACCATCACCACTATTTCAAAAACTTTATTTTTTAAGATTTTATTTTTAAGTAATCTCTACACCCAATGTGGGGTTCAAACTCATCACCCCAAGATCGGGAGTCACATGCTCTACTGACCGAGCCAGCCAGCTTGCCCCAATTTCTAAAACTTTAAAGTCACTCCAGGCAGAGGGGGGATGGTTGAAATAGGTGAAGGGGATCAAGAGTACCCTTTATCGTGGTGAGCACCGAGTAGTGTACAGAAGTGTTGAATCACTATATCGTACACCTGAAACTAACATAACATTGTATATTAACTACACTGGAATTTTTTTAAAAAGGGAAAAAAAAGTTTATGTAGAGAGAAAACAAGTCACCTCAGACAAAAACTGTATAACCATTAAGCAACAACTCCATTTTCTCCTCACTCTAGCCCCTGGCAACTTCTATTATATTCTACTTTGGTCTCTACGAATTTGTCTATTCTAGATACCTCATTTGAGTGGAATCATACAATATTTGTCTTTTGTGTCTGACTTATTTCCCTCAGGGGTCATAAGTTCCTAACCTGTAACGCTGACTCATTAGGTTCCCACAACTGGGAGTTTAGTGCTATTGTCCCTACTTTAAAGAAGTTGGACACAGAAAGGCTGGGTAATTTGCCTAAGATCACTCAGCTGATAAAGAGCACTATTGGTCAGCCGCTGGCTGCACCCTTAACTTGGTGCTGCACTTCCCCTCACCAAACCTCCTTGGTTCAAGGCAGCAGCAAAGGGGTCTAGATCCCGTAACCAAGAGCATTACTTCCTCCCTGTGAGGCTCACTCCTCCAGATGTACTGGGGGCAGCTGGGCATGCTCAGCCTGAAGCATGAGGGCACTCACCCTCATTCTCTGTGCCAGGCCCATGGTGGGCCCTGCAGAGGCAGATGAACGCCCATGCAGTAGTCAGAGAGGGAAGTTTAGGAGGCCTCACCCAAGCTAGAGGTCAAGAAAGGAAGTCTTCTAGGAGAAAGTGCTCTTGAAGTTAAGACCCAAAGGTCGCTGATTATTTGTCTTGCTTGCTGTGAGCCCCCTGTATGGCTATACCTGTTTACCCATTTGCTTTCCTGCCTATGGCATTTGGGCTGTGCCTAGGCTAGAGGCTGTGAACAAAACTGCAGTGATAGCATTCCTGCTGGAGTCTCCCTGTGTCCTATGAGGGGACACATGCCTAAGGATAGGATTTCTCAGTGTGAGCCGAGGTGAAGGTCCCACTTTAGAAACTTATGCGAAATGGTTTTCTAAAGTGTTGGTGCAAATTTACACTCCCAGAGCCAGGAAGAAAGTATTCTATCTTTTTTATTTTACATAGAAATCTTCCCCCCTATCCTCTCCCACCACCATCCCCTCGTTCCCCACCCTGCTTGGCTCCGGCCATGCCTAGCAGCAAGTCAGAAGCTGGCAGAAGCATGGGCAGGCTGAAATTGCCTGAGAAGTCTTGAGCACTTTGGTCCATACAGTCAACAAAAGACCTGGAGAACCAGAAGCAGCCCGGCTACATCTGGCTATACACAAGAGCCTTTAACAGACAGCAGGTCCTGCTGGTCTCACATCGGCAACCACATGTAGGCCCAGTACGGTAGACCCAGTATGGTGGGGGTGGGCAGGGTAAGTTCAGGAAAAGCACAGTTCCTGGGCCTCACCCTCATCCCCATCTTTTCGTCTACCCTTGCCCTCAGGGCTGGTCCCGGAGGAGGGGCCGTGCCCCCAAAACCTCCTGCTGAGCCAGTCCAGGCCTATAAGTTGGAGGCGTATATCTGGCCACTGATCAGACTCACTGTTCTCACTACCACAAGAAGGTGTCCAGTTTGGCCTGGGAGGGAGGGAGCACTGTCCTTGTCTTGACTCTCTGCTTAGCCTTGGGTTTGGGCTTAACAGGCAGTGGGCGGATCATAGTTGTGTCAGTCTGAAGAAGATGTCAAGGAAGAGGCCTAAAGAAGAGACTGAATACAGGGCAGCAAAGGTTCAGACTTGGAGAGGGGAAGCTCTGCTATACTGAGCGAGGTCAGGCTCTGCACACCTGAGGCTGCAGCCACTGCCAGGCTAGGGTCTGAGGGTACAGGTAAGGGATGGTGTGGGTAGCTCAGCTCAGCCCAGTGCCACAGAACAAGGATACAGGTTGGATGAATTTTGTCCGACCTCCAAGACCATCGAAGCCGGTCCTTACCTAAGGCGGAAGGAAGAAGTGAGTGGGCCAGGTTAAGAAGCTAGGAAGCTGGCCCCCCACTGTCCCCCTCCCCCCCCCCCCAGAGGGCTGGCATTTGCCACTTGTGGGAAGCCATACTCACGGCATCTGTGCTGCGACGGGTCTCTGCTTTGGCCCTCTTGGGCTGTTTCTGGCCTAGGACAGCATTCCGGATGAAGACAGGAAAGGCACTAGCCAGCTCCTCATCTGGCTCTCCCATACAGCGCTGGCCGCCCAGCGAGAGCTGGGACTCCTGGGGTGGGGGAGTCCCCAAAGGCAGACTTGACGAGAGAGATGGCAGCAAAGGAGGGGGCGGGTAGGGGTGGTGGAGCAGGACCAGGATCTCTGATGCTTCACCAGGAGGCAGATAGGATAATGAATAGAGTTCCCAGGGTGGCTCCATAGTGTCTTAGCCCCAGGCCAGGAGTCAGAGGCCTCTGGCAACACCCTGCCCTTTCAGAAGTCCCGCTTTACACTCAGTTCTGGCAAGGGTTGGATGGTGACTGCTTGACTTCTTCAGGGAAACCTTACCTGCTTGGGGTCATTGGGCATCTTGTTGGGGATGTCCTGAACAGGAGAGCTGTGAGAGCAAGACACAAAGACAAGAGGCAGGTGAGCAAGATACAGGGCCTGGTGAGCCAGGCTCAGCACATGGCCCTTGGGGAACCACCATGTGGCATTGCTGCTGTAATGGCTGTGCTGGGCAAGGCACCTCAGTGAGCCCCACCCCAAGTGCAGGTCTGTGAACAGCTGCCAGAGTGGAGGAGGAATGGGAAGTTGGACCATTTTTCAATTTTGTGGCTTCCACTCAGGGCCAAGCCAATTCCAATCCTCCCCAAGGCCTCAAATGCCTCACTATGTCCTGGGTTCTATGTGTGGCTGGAGGCCCAGCTGATTCACCAACCAAAGGGGGAAAGCCAGTCATGTTCTGATATAGGCAGAGGGCACCTCGTGATCTCAGACTTAGCCTTGTCTGCCCAGAGAGGGGCTACCATCTCCACAATACCCTCAGTAGATAGTCTATCAAGTACTCTCACAACACAGGGCTAGGCCATCTTCTTAGGTAATCCGTGTAGGCACAGTCTGGGGTATAATGAATTATGGCCCCAAGCCCCGGCCCTTCACTCATAGCTCCAGAGCTAGACACAGTGTTTCCACCCAATCCCTGGGGACACTAACAGCTGAATACCCTCTCCTGGTATTTTCCCAGAGGGGGTAGCAGGAGGGTGACCTAAAGGCTGACCCTGTGGTTTCTCATAGCCATGAGGACAAGGGGAGGGTCAGTCTTGTCAACTCTGGATCCCTTCATTCCTGTCCCTATAGCCTGTGGTGAGGCTACATGAAAGCCATGGGAAGATTCTCCACTTGCTGCAAGTTTGGCTCTGGGGAGGCTGATCCAAGGGGGAAGCATCCTGGATTCCCTCACACTCACTGCAGGCCCTCAAGATGATAAAAATGTCTCTAAAAGGCCTGGCAGTCTGCAGGCCCCAGGTGTCCACTTTCACCCTTTACAGCTAGAGAAAAGACAACATGAAGAAGCCAGGGTGTGCAGCAGGCACTAACAGGCCCTGTGACTACAGCCCACATGCCCAAGGCTTGCTTCCCACTGCTACCAGGCCTGGCCCTGTACAGCACGGGTACCTCCACCCCTGAGGGTGGGGAGAGGTGAAGAGCTCAGCTGGCTCTCCCTTTTGCTCTCTCCCTGGGCCTTTTCCATTTTCACTGCCTAACACCTCAATTTCTTTCTCTCACGTCCAAAGGTTTTGATTAGGAGGAAACCACTCAGCCCTTGACCCCCTTACCTGAGTAGCATATACCTACACGTACGTAGGGGAGTAGTTCTTGTCTTCCTGATGAACTATACTCGCCCTGTGTGTCCAAGGAGACAACCTCCCCATTCCCAGTCCCACTGGGTCCCTTGTGCAGGTCCTGCCCATCCCACTACAGCTCCCCACAGCTTCTCAAGCCTGCCCCTGTGGGCTACCCCCTTAGATGATGGGGCCCTGGGCACCATGATCTGAGATGGTCCTCAAGCATGAGCCCAAGAGGCACACAATGGAAGAAGAACTTCAGAGTCCCTGGCTCAGGACTCTGGTGGGCAGGCATTCAAGATATGGGGAGTACACACATACCCCAACACCATCAACCTAGACCTGCCCCTACTGGGACCCCTGTGTTCTCTCCAACTCACATCCCAACACCTTTGCTTGAAGGGTGATAGTGATGACTGAAAGAAGCGAGAAGGGCTTTGCCCACAGTGAGTACTCAGGAAAGGGAAGAAGAGGTGGCTAGAACCAAAGTAATAGTCAACCCCAGGTCACCCTCACTGCCCTGTCAGCCACTCAGAGCAACTATGGCAGGGCCTACAGAGACCTCTTGGTCATCCTGCCTCCAGGCTGTGGACATGGCCAGGCACTACCACTTACTGTGCTATCTCTTGGCAGAGCTTCTTGGCACGGCCCTGCTGGATGCTGGCAGGCTGGGCTGGAGGGGTGTCCACATCAAAGGTGGCATTGAGGTCAATATCATCACCGAAGGCTGGTCGGCGAAGCTTCAGGTTCAGCATTTCCAAAGGGGCTGGGCTATAAGCAGACATGGCGTGGTTACTCTGGACCACTGCGGCAGTTCAGAAGGACAACAGTCTCTGCAGCATCAGAGATGGCTTGGTTCCAGGGGTCTGGAGCCCACCCATGGCCCAGGGCCACCTTGCAAGGAAGCCTGAATCTCTACAGAAAAAAAACCACTTGGCTTAGTGCTTCACACCATAGTGGGACCAGTGAAAGTCTTCAAGACATGGAAGGAAGCAAGCAAAACCACACACAAAACCCAAGTGTACAAACAAAAGGTTACTGCCTTTTGACCAAACAGCCTCATCTCTCAGAATGCAGTACAAGGGGCCAGAGATGTGACCACAGATTGATGTAGATGGCACATAGTGGTCAAAATGACTCTCCTAGGGAGCTGGCACTTTCATAGCTTGACTATGATACAGATATTATAGTAGTGTTTCTGGAAAGTAAACTAAGTAACATGGGGAAATGCTCATATGTTGCATTTATAAAGTAATATGAGGGGTACCTGTGTGGTTCAGTTTGTTGAACATCCAACTCTTGATTTTGGCTCAAGTCATGATCCTAGGGTATGGGATCGAGCCCCGTGTCAGGCTCTGTGCTGAGCGTGGAGCCTGCTTATGAGTCAGTCTCTCTCTCTCTCTCTCTCTCTCTCTCTCCCCCTCTGCTGCTCTCCCCAACTTGTGCACTCTCTCTAAAAAAAATAATAGTAATAAAATAATAAAAAGTAATATAGAACTCTGGGACACCTGGGTGGCTCAGTCAGTTAAGTGTTAAGTGACTCTTGGTGTTGGCTCAGGTCATGGTCTCACAGTTCATGAGTTCGAACCCGACATCAGGCTCTGTGCTGACAGTGTGGAACCTACGTGGGATTCTGTCTCTCCCCTTCTCTCTCTCTGCCCCTCCCGCACTTGCTCTCTAAATAAATAAACTTTAAAAAAAGAGAGAGAGAGGGGCACCTGGGTGGCTCAGTTGGTTGAGCGTCTGACGTCGGCTCAGGTCATGATCTCACAGCTCTGTGAGTTTGAGCCCCCAAAAGGCTCTGTGTTGATGGCTTGGAGCCTGGAGGCTGCTTCAGATTCTGTGTCTCCCTCTTTCTCTGCCCCTAACCCACTCGCGTTCTGTCTCTGTCTCTCTCAAAAATAAATAAACATTAAAACAAATTAAAAAAAAATAAAATAAAAAAGAGAGAGAAAGAAAAAAAGAAAATTGCAGCCAATAGGATTTTTCTAGCCCATCCAGGCCTGGTGGCGTTCCCTAGCTCCTGTGGTCAGAAAACTCTGGGGAATGGCAGGGCAGCCCCAAGAACATCCCTATTTCCTTCCCTTAGGAAGGAACCTTTTCAGGGCTGCTCAAAGCCCTACGCCCATCGCTCAAGGACAAGGAGATGCACTGTGAGGGTATTAGTCACTGGCCAGGAGCCCAATGGGGCATGCAGATTGGAGAAAAGGGAATTACCTACACTGATTTGGATGGGCAAGCAATGTGGGAAGATTAGACTCTCTCTTCCTTTCCCTGGCCAGGTCCCTGAACGCTCTACCCTCTCTTGCCTGCAAGTGAAAACAAAGGTTGCACAAATGCACCTCAAACCAACGCCATGCTGGTTGTTTTGCTTCCCCCACTGGGATCCACAGCATAAAGCAGCAGCCAGGAGCACTCATGACAACGTTTTTGTAGTATCTGTTATTCTGCCAATATCTACCAACCCCAGCAAGTCCTCTGCTACTGTCTACCACCCCAGAGGGTCAATAAACCTCATCACACCCTGCTCTCCGCAGCCATGCGACAACCCCCTGCCAGCCCGAGCTGCATGCCCTGGTGGCTCCTGTGTGCCTCAAACCTGAGCCAGGGCTCACCCCTCACTGAAGCTTCTAGATACAAATGGCACAAGCGCCACTTTTCTTGCCATGGGATTTGGCCTGTCGTAGTATGTGGTCAGGGGGTTTTGGGGCTTAGCCATCTAAGCCCCCAGCTTGCCTATCCCACCAGAACACAAGCTCCAAGAGAACCGAGAGGGCCATACATGCAGCATGCACTCAGTAAGAACCTGTTATGGAAGTTTAGGCCTCACTCCATCCTGGAGTGGTAAAGAAAGTAAGCAAAAGCAAGTATGCAAAGTCTCTGGGAGCCTGGAGGCGTGCCTCACTGTGGATGCTGGATACAGAGGACAAGCATGTGGAAACACCCTGAGGACCATCAAATGGGAAGTGTAGGGAGCACCGTGGAGCTTATAGATAGCAGCCTTGAGTGATATCCTAGCAAAAGAATTTTTACTTCCTGCTGAGAAAGCTTAGATTCTAAATGTTTGAACACATGAGATGGTCTTTGAGACTATCAGCTCCCTAACTGTCAAGCTTCTGACAGGGCCCTTGTGCTACCTGGGGGTCCAAGCTGGCATGGCCAATGGGCTCTGAGGGTGGAGTGCAGAGGAAGGACCAGACACACAGGCTAGTTCATCAAAATCAGCCATACACTGGACTTCACAGTCAGTCATGTGCCCATCACATCCCCACAGCCATTTCTCAGTCCAACCCAAGCTGGGGTGGGCAGGCAGCTCTGGCTCCATAAAGAGACATGGAAGGTCTGAGGTAAGAAAGAAAGCAAAGGTTGAAGAACTAAAGGTCCAATGAGAATGAGAAGCTGGCTTGTTGGCACTCACTCCTCCGTGCAGATGCTACGGTGTAGGGAAAAGATGGTGCATGTAAGGAGGCTGGTGGTGAGGGACACAGATTAAGATGTGGCTCCCAGTCTACTCATAGCTGGGTGTGTATGTATTGAGTGGTCCAGGCTCTGGCAAGACTCTAGAGCACCTCTATGGCCCATGGCACCTGACACAACATCTAAATAAATACTACCTGTGCAGAGGAGGATGAGCTTACTCCTGCTGAGGAGGCTAGGGAAGGCTCTGCAGGGCAACTGACCCACCAGTGTGAACAGGAGCTGACATACAGAAAGGCCCAGAAATGGGAAGGCAAGGGATATTCTGCTTGGTTTGACAGTATTATTTGGCTGAAGCCTAAAGATCTACTATAGCTCCCAGGCTGGCTCTAAGAGTGCGTTGGCATAGTGCAAGAAGGTCTGGGAGTGTTTGGTGGGGGAGGAATAATGTGATACCCAGGGGCTGATAAGCTGGGCAGACAAGAGGAGCAGGAAGACGGGTCACAATCCTTACGTGGGGGTGGTGGTAAGGGATAAGATCAGGAAGTACCCCGGAGGTTAAATGGGCAGACTCCAGCAACTCATCAGATATGGGGAAGGAGCATAATGATTTTCCAAAGGACATTGAAAAGTGGCTCAAATACAAGGCTGGGCCGCTGGGTTATATGCTTTCTGTCTGGGCCATCAGCTGGGCAACTAGGTAGGACATCCCTGATGCTCTCACCTAGTTGGCTTCTGTGAAACACCCAGAGAGGAATGGGCAGCCAGTCCTGGCAGGGACACCCATCCCCCTGCCTCTTGGCTCCCTCTGCTGGAAGCTTTAATGCACACATTCCTGAGACCATAGGGGAATTATTTTGGTGACTGGTTTCGTGTTTGTTTCAGAATCTGGGGTGGACAGATGCATTCAGTAAGCATTCCATAAACAGGATTCCTGAAGACAGTCCATGCTCCTTCCCCTTCCCCTTCCCTGCCCACCCCTAGGTCCCCTATGGCCTACCCTGGCCTCTCGTTAGAGCCCAGAACTTGCCTCAAAGCTGTTTTCCCACCAAATCTTGGCTGTGTCCCAGGGCAGGAGGCCCACAGCCTACAGGCCCACATGGACCACCCACCCGACCAAAGCCAGGAGTAGTGAAGACCCTTACCAAAGAGTTCTTCCAGCTTATGACCACCCCAGAAGGTCAACAAACCTCTCTAAAACCAGGCGGTTGACAGTCTCACTGTCCACTGGTGGCAGGTTCAGGGTTTCCTGCAGCATCGTTAGCTTTTTTTTCAGGCTCTTGGGAAAGGAAAGAGAAGAGTGTGAAAGAGAGGCTGAGGCAGCAAGACTGGAGAGACTGCCAAGGACACGAGCAACATGCATCCTGGGAACAGACCAAAATCTGAACCCCAACATCAGGCTCAAGAGGCCAGGAATACCCAGCCTCAGAACCCCTCTCTGGGGAAGCCTCCCCTCTGGTGACCCTGGGGACATAGGTACAGGACAGGTGCTGTCTGTCCCCTACTGAGAAGGCCCAGGCTCCAAATCAGGGTCAAAGTGCATATCCTGACCCACTCTGACCCAGGAAGATAAAGGGAACCCACAACCACTGCCACTGACTGGGGCACAGGTTCCCAGGCTTTTGGAGCACACACAAAATACTCCTCATTCCCGTCTGGCCAGGGATGTCACTTACTGTGATTTCCTTGTCAGCACTCTGTAAGTCCTTCTGCGCTGACCTCAGCTCCAACCTTGTCTGGTCTAGTTCAGAGTAGACTGTCTGCAACTGTAAGAAAGTGTAGGGAGTAAAGGACAAGCCAACAGGTGGCCCTGTGCTCTGCCTCCACCTGCTGCTACCTAGTGCATGCTCGTAGGAGCCCAGGGTCCAGAAGAGTCTGAGGACACAAGGAGAGACTCTGGCCTTGTGGGGCAGGGCTTTAATCCGTCAATGTCCATCTGGAGCTGCCCAGGAACAAGGGCTTCGTTCTATGCCCAATAGTCCATGGATGCACTGGGCCCAGAAATAAAACAGCTGTGCTGACTGAACCAGGTTCCAAGTAGGTTCCTCCTACTTTGGGCCTGGTACAAAAATAGGCCTCGGACACTGGCACCTTAGGGATCTGTGCTCTCCAGCCAGCTAAGAGGTGCCTAGGAACCAGGAAGAATAGAGGGGAGTGTAACCGTGCGCATACTGGGGGAGAACCCTGTGTGAACTGCCGGCCTTGGTGGGCCAGCCACAGAGCCAGAGCCAGAGCCCAGTAAGGCCCAGTAACCAGTCTCTGTGAGTCACCCAATAGCCCCATGGAGTCCGTTGTGCCATCCAGCCCCATGGCTTTGCTCAGGAGACAGGAACGAGCATGACAAAAGGACAGCCACCTCTCCCCTCATCTTCTGCTCCCCACTGTTACCTTGCTTTTGGAAGAAAATAAGTCCTTCTTCAGTTTGTCAGCCAGCTCCCCTGAGGCCTTCCGTGCCTCTTTTAGATTCTCATACTCTCTACAAGGGGGCCAGGAAAAGAGATGTCAGAATAGGACACGCTGCTGGTCAGAATGAGCCACAGCACCAAGCAAACACAAAACCCAGGCTGTGCCCTAGGCCGGTTCTCATTCCTACTCTGATACCTGAGCGCAACAGGGTAATGTTTTGGGGGGTCCTGCAAGGAGAGCTGGGGAGTCTCTATCCCCTGCCTGTTGTGCAGGCACCAGTGATTTGAGAGGATGCGCAGCAAGCCCTGCCCTCGTTAAGGTCTCACAAAGAGGCTCCCTACCTCATCTGGGTCTCACAGGAGATATCTGGGATCCCATGCCTGTCAGCCAAGTTGTCCCTTTCCCCCAGTCTCACCTCCATGATAATGGAGAATCTGAGCCAAATTTCTGATGCAAATCAGGCAGAGTCAATAAATGCCGATGGGAAATAGGCTCCATTTATCATGATGGGGTTTATATAGCTCAGAGAGTGGTGCCGACCCTCTTAGAAATAACACTTATGGGGCGCCTGGGTGGCTCAGTTGGTTAGGCGTCCGACTTCGGCTCAGGTCATGATCTCGCAGTCCGTGGGTTCGAGCCCCGCGTTGGGCTCTGTGCTGACCGCTCAGAGCCTGGAGCCTGTTTCAGATTCTGTGTCTCCCTCTCTCTCTGACCCTCCCCCATTCATGCTCTGTCTCTCTCTGTCTCAAAAATAAATAAACGTAAGAAAATAAATAAATAAAAAGAAATAACACTTATAATTCACACTCATTCTTTCAATAGCCCTATGAGGCAAATTATTACTATCTCCATTCAGGAAGCTGTGGGTCAGAGGCTAAGAGACTGGCTCCTGGCCACATTGTGAGAGGTGGGGTCAAGGTGCAAACTGAGGCAGCATAGCTCCTGAGCTTGCCCCTTAGCTCTGCCTGCTCTGCTTTGCAAGAGATGGAGAGCAGACGGATTGGGTGCCGTGGCTTAGCTCCTAGGCTGGGTCAGAGGGGCCAGAGTACACACTTCTTGAGGGACACGCAGTACACAGCCAGCTGCTCCACCGCTGACTGTCCCACACCCATGTCTCGGATCATCTCCTCCACCTCGGGCCGCTGGCTCTGGAGTAGGAGCTCAATCCTGAAAAACACCCAACCCACGGCATTTAAAATCTGGAGGCTGACGGGTAGGTACCCAGCACAGCTCTGCTTCCCTTTGCTGCTGTTGCTATGGTAACAGCCTGAGCTGCCAGCATGCTCTAGCAGGCGGGTCTATCCAAAGAAAGGCCCCACAGCAGAGCTGAACACAGCTGTAGGGATGCTGCTGGGGAAGAATGGGTGCTGACAGCTCCTCAAGGTCAGGAATCCGTAGAGAAAGGTTTTTGGAGCAAAAAACCTGCCAGGTTGTCAGGCCACAGGCAACAGAACAGGGAGGAGTGAGGCAAGGGCCCCCATGGGAAGCAGAGGTCAAGCAAGGAGACCTGTGCCCATACCCAGCTGGCCTGAGCCCCATGTGGCCTATGGAGAGATTTGAACCACAGAGGTGACCCAATCCCCCTGTAGTCCTGAGAGTTGTGCCACCTGGGAGCCACAGGAGCAAGGGCAGAGGGCAGTCCCTAGCTCCAAGCTCACCTCTCCATGGTCTTCATCTTGGTCCTGAGCCGGCGGGCCTCCTCCTGTGCTTGCTTGGTTTCATCCTGCTGCTGCTCCAAGTACTTCATCTGTTTCTGAAGAGCACACACATCCATACATACCTGTTGCTTGGACAATCCCAGGGACGATGGCTAAAGTCATCAGGAGAACTGTCTCCTTTTCAAAATGCTGATAACCATGTGTCCCCAGCCCCCAGGGAGGAAGGCGCCTGGGCCCCTCTGTTTGTGCTTTTTCTGCTACGAGGCCTTAGGCCAACTGTTTCCTTAGCTCTCTGCGTGCTTCCTCCTGAGATATATTATCACAGGCACAGCCCACTGCAACCATCTACAGGCCCATTGTGGGCTGCCAAGGTCCTGTGACTTAAGGGCTCATGGTGCATGTTGTATAGGAAGGTGAAGAAACACAGATCCAGGCCTTGCTATCCACCATCTAGACCCATGGACAGTTACCAGGATAGAAGAGCCGAGACAGAGGCAGCTGGCCAGGCTGTCCTCAGCACAAACCACTCTATCTCTGACCTGGGAATGCCATCAAAGACTCCTGCTGTGCAGCTAGGTACTGATTCACTCCTTCCCTCCCACTGGCCAGGCCATGTGATCCAGCCCAGCCACCAAGCAGGAACAGAGACAACGAACACCTGGGGCCCTATCTGTTCATAAAGATGGCTCCCTTTCCCTTACAAATGGCATCCAGCAAGGACTGCTCCTTCCTACGAGGCCAGCATATCAATTGTGGGTTCAGATCAATCGCCTCATGCCCCTTAGAGAGCAAGAGGCTCACCAACCCAGGCTGATACAAAATTCATCTGGGTCTAGAGCTGCTTGCTCTGCAGGCTTTGATCTGCCTGGTCAGCTCAGCACAGCCGACTTCAAAGGGCCCCTGCTCCTCCCTGGGATGCTGTTTGATCTGGCTCCAGAGAGCAACCCAGCCAAGGACTAGAGTGCTAATGGAAGGTTCTTTGGTCTGGCTTCATCAGTGGAGTACAAACCACTTTTGGAAACAAGGTCCAGCCTCACCTAGGTTTTGGCTGAGCAGCCCCTCCAAGAAGCCCTGGGAAGTCCTCACCTGTCCGAACTACCTAGTACAAAATCCAGAAGTGTAGCCAATATGGCTCTTTGTTTATAGGCTGGATGGGCACAATATGGGAGGCCTGGGGGAAAAGGGATTTGCCTCCATTTTACAACTGTATAAATGAAGGTAATGACAAAGGCAGAACCAGAAGATAAGCCCAGAGTGGTGAGCTCAGGACCAGGCTATATCTCCCAAACAACTTGTGCCCACAGAACCTGGGGACCAACCTTGAGGGTGGAGCATAGCATTTCAGCCTTGTCTAAAGCCTTTTGCAGAGATTCCACAGTGGCGTTGCGCTCTTCCAAGGTGTCCCGCAGAGTGTCGATGATGACCTGGCTATCCCTTTTCTCCTTCTCTGGAGTGGGGGGTGGGGGAGGGGAAGGCCCATTCACCCATCAGCATAAGAACCTTAGACCTTAGGTTCCAGCCCCCCACCCCAGAGCCAAGTAAGGAAAAGTCTCAGGTCAGCAATTGGGTGGCCCGCTTCTCTCTCTGGCATGCACCAAACCAGGGAAGCTGAGCCAGAGTTTCTTCATTCAGGGGATGAGACCCTCTTTCTGCTGCTTGGAACTACTTGAGTAAAGATTTCACTGCTCCCCACTCCCATGGGTAGAGTTAATTCATCATCTCAGAACTCAATCAGGTTTCCAGCCAAACCCTCTCCTACAAATACTCTGTCCCATTAGGTAGCTCCCTCCCAGCCTGGGTCCTGGCAGGAAGCCTCAGACAAAAAGAAGAAGCTCACCTAATCTAGGTGGACAGCTTTAGGCACCTCCTTTTCCTTTCCTTTCCTGCCAATCACACCTGGCAAAACTCTTGGAAATACAAAGCAGGGAGAGCCCCTAGCTTCACCAGAAGACTGGAGGCCTTCCTCCCAAGGATCTCTCCCTTCAGGACCTGGGTCAGGGACTTCCCAGGGCCACCTATCTCCTACTAACTCACCTTTCTGGGAAAGCTGGGCTCTGATATTATCCAGTTCATTCTGTAAGGCAATAGCCACAATAAGCAATAGAAAGGCATCATAGCTGGCTTCCACACAGCACCCCAAAAGGCATGCAGGGAGATCCAGGAAGGGACAATGAGGTCTGTAGGTCCAGGGAGGCACAGACCCTGCTGTATGTCACAGCCAAGCTAAGCCAACAGTGTAGAGATACATCTTGCTTTATCTCTGTACTTTTCTGAAAAGTAGGTGAGGTGGAGAAAAATAATCTCTGGTAGAAGACCCTGGGACAGGGAGAGAGGCAGAAGAGGGGCAAGAGAAGTGAAGTTGGACCTGTGTGACCAGTCTCACAGCAAAGGATTCCATCATTTCCTTGGCCCTATGTTGGTCTGGCCCTTCCCCTCTCCAGGCTTCAGCTGCACTCACCAGGGACACAGAGTTGGGATGCCCAGGGACCTTGGGTCATCACTCCTTCCCTCCACCCTTGCTTCACAATCTACTTCTCTTCAAGCTCTAAGCTGGCTCTGTATACCATGAATCTCCCAACCCTAATAAGGTAGGTGAGCTGGGACAACTTTGTATCTCTGGATGAAACCTCACATGTGCTAGGCTCTAACCAGACTATTCTGAGGGTCAAATGAACCTCTCAAAGCCTGTGCATAAGTTACACAGCCACTGCCGTAGAACCACTGAGAGGCTGGGGCAGAACTGAGCCCAGACTCCATTCAGGAATTCAAAGCACTCAACACCCCCATAGGCAAGAGAAGTACCTACTGCATAAGCAGGAAAACCAGGCTCTGCAGAACTGAAAGGCCTGGCCAAGGGTTCAGGATGGTAGCTGGATGGAATCCAGGCAAATCTTCCTCCAGATCACCTTTCCCGGGTCAATACAAGACTCAGGATTTTACATGTGACCAATACTAAAGCCCAGCCCCAGTGGGTGGATAAGCCCCCTACTGTCAAAATCCCCACCCAGGACTCTGGGGCAAAAGCTTTTGGTAGCTGGACTGGTCACTGTGGGAAGAACATCCTAGAGTGCAAGTGGTGGGTAGAGAAGGGCATGCACGGGCTGCAGAGGACAGACACCAACCCAAAGCTCCCCCAAGTCCCCTGGCTTTTTTTTTTTTTTTTTTTAATACTCCAGCAGGTACCTTCCTGGGCCCCTGCTCCAAACTGCTACTCTCAAGACATTGCTGCTCTCCCTTCTTCCCAGATCTGGCTTTGGTGCCTCAGAAAGAAACGAAGCTGCCTTTGTTGTCTTTAGATCACAGGAGTGAGTGCTTTAAACCAGGGAGCAGTTACTAAGGATTTGAACACAGCCATTTCAAGCACAAAAGCCTCACCTCTGAAGCAGTAAGGTTCCAAGGACATCATGGTATCCACCCCCCCACCCCACCCCGGCCCAAAGCCAAATGAACCCAGGACTGACAGATGCCCAGCAAGTTAACCCTCAGAGTCCAGGTTCATTGTGAACCCCAATCCCACTTTCTTGAGAGGTTTCTACCAATCTAGCCCTCTGGTACACAAAGAAAGCTAAATCTTGGACTTGGGGGAATAAGTGTAGGAGGGAATCCACCCATTCTCCCCAGCAGTGTGGGCTCACATCCTGATTCCAGGGGTTCTGCCCTCTATTCCTGATCTGGGAAAGACTCAGTCACCTGGATATACACCAAGCTTTCTCACAGTTTTGAGGCACAGCCATGTTTGTGAATAGTGGGTCCACACATCTTCTCTGTGTGGACTAGAAGAGTTTTCTAATCTGTCCAAGCAGCAAAGTGGGCTGGGAAGGATGGCTGTAGAACCTCTGCAAGGTGAGAGAAACTCAGGAGAGACATTTTGGCCTTTGTTGGAAATTACTCTAAAATCCCAAAGGGAAGGTTCACAGTCCAGAGGCTCCCTTCCTTCAGGGGCGCCTGGGTGGCTCAATTGGTTAAGTGTCTGACTTTGGCTCAGGTCATGATCTCACGGTTTGTGAGTTCAAGCCCTGCGTCAGGCTCTGTGCTGACAGCTCAGAGCCTAGAGCTTGCTTCAGATGCTGTGTCTCCCACTCTCTCCCCTTCTCCACTCACTCTCTGTCTCGCAAAAATGAATAAACGTTAAAAAAAATACATTTTTTTTTTAAAGAAAACAGGCTTCCTTCTTCCCTAACAGTGTATTTCTCCAATGACTGGGTCTTATCATCACTTCTCCTCTGCTCTCCTCCCCTCTGCCTTGAAACCTCTACAAAATCTCCCTCCAGACTCCATCGTGACACTCTAGGTACCCACCCTGGGTGGGAGCAGAAAGTAAATTCTCAAGGGGCTTGGAGTTCAGTAGAATGACATAAATCCCAGGTACCTTTAAGAATTCTGCATCTAAGACACTCTCCTCCTCTTGGGCAAGGTCAAAGAAGAGCTTATTGATAATGGTTCTTTTGCCAACCTGGATGGAAGGACAAGATAGAGTATGAGTATATAGCTGGGTCACGTGCAAGGACAGGGATATACATGCAACCTAACGTGCAGCCAGGCCTATTCTCAGGCCCAACTTTTCACAACACTTCCCTTGGAATCAGATGAACTCTGTAACCCTATAGTTTCCCTAAGCTGGCGCCACCACTTTGGTGGTTACTAAAGTCATGTCACCACAAACCTATGTGGTAACTACTCAAAAGATACCCCAGCTCTAAGTGCTTTGAGGAAACGGGGAAAGGTAGAGAAGGAGGCCAGATTTACCTAGGTGAAGACTAGCCCAGGCAATAAGTCCACCTGCTAGCTACTCATAGGCATAAGCAGGCCTCCTGAGCCACTCAAAAGCACAAGTAAGGTTTGATCAGCCTCAAACCATGAGGGTCCTAAAAGGTCAAAGATATTGCTCAGTTTCAGAGATCTTTCCTTATTTCTGCTTCCTGGCAAGTAAAAGATATCTTCAGCTGAAGTGTTTTCACCCCACCACCCTCACCTGGATTCGGCACTGTGGGCAGGTCCGACTTGGTGCTGTCTCAAACCACTGAATTAGGCTGGAATGAGAAGCAGAAAAGCAGACTGGTGAGCCTTTGCTTGGGTAGAGACACATAGAGCAGGTAGCCACCCCAACCACAACAGGGTCTGACTTGTTCTTTCTTGACCCAGAGCCTGCCCACATAGGAGGGCGGTTACCACAGGTGGTACAGCACATCCCATAAGGCCTGACTGGGACAAGCACTCTGGGACAAGTCCTTTTTTTTGGCCCTGTTGGTGTGGCCCTCCTTACCCCTCAGCTGCTCTTTTGTCAACATTCTAGGCTTGGACTAAAGAGCAGCAGTCAAAGCACAGGATCCCTCAGAGATAGGGATTCTAATAACACACCCACTTTAAGCTAGGATTCCCAAGGGCTACACTTTCAGAGTAAGGGTAAACTAGAAGTAAATGCAAGTAGTGCTAAAAGTAAAATACTCTCCAGCTTTGCATCGTCTATCTGAGTGGTCCAACAAAACCTCAAGCCTTAAACTTTAATTAGTCTCCTACTAGTAGACTCTCCCACCAGGGAACAGGGAGAAACAGAGGTCTTTCTGTTTCTGGGATACCATCATCCCAGGCCTCAAAGTTTTTCTATAAATAATTTTTCATAGGGGTGTCTGGGTGGCTCAGTTGGTTGAGCATCTGACTCTTGACTTCGGCTCAGGTCATGATCCCAGGGTCATGGGATTGAGCCCCACGTCAGGTTCCATGCTGAATGTGGAGCCCGCTTAAGATTCTCTCTCTCTGCCCCTCTCCCCTGCTCGTTCACTCTCTCTTAAAAAAAAAAAAAATTATGCTATGTACAAGATATAATCAAAGCTAGCCATGCGCAATGGAATACTATATGGCAACAAGAAAGAATGAGTCTACAACTAAGAACAATATTACAAATGAATCACATATACATAACATTGAGGAAGACAAACCAGATACAAAAAAGGTATACTGCATATGACTCCATTTACATAAAGTAAATGCTTTCGTTTTCTTAAAGTAAAGTCATACAAGGAAAAGAGCATTACAAGTGCAAACCAGAACATATCCAGCAAGACTTCAGATATGGGAATTGTCACATACAACATAACACATTATACTAAAGAAATAAAAATCAAAACTGAAAATATCATTAGAGGAGTACCTGTCTGGCTCAGTCAGTAGAGCATGTGATTCTTGATCTTAGGGTTGTGAGTTAGAGCCCCATGTTGGGGGTAGAGTTTACTTTAAAAAAGGAAAAAAAGGGGGTGCCTTGGTGGCTCGGTCAGTTAAGCATCCAACTTTGGCTCAGGGCATGATCTCACGGTTCGTGAGTTTGAGCCCCACGTTAGGCTCTGTGCTTACAGCTCAGAGCCTGGAGCCTGCTTCAGATTCTGTGTTTCCCTCTCTCTCTGCCCCTCCCCTGCTTGCGCTCTCTCTGTCTCTCAAAAATAAATAAACATTAAGAAAAGAAAAAAAAGAAAAAAACAGGGCACCTGGCTTAGTTGGTTAAGTGCCTGACTATTGATTTCAGCTCAGGTCATGATCTCACAGTTCATGGGTTTGAGCCCCACATTGGGCTCTTCGCTGACAGTGTGGAGCCTGTTTGGGATTCTCCCTCTCCTCCTCTCTTTCTGCCCCTCTCCCATTTATACATGCTCTCTCTCTCTCTCTCTCTCCCAAGAATAAATAAATAAATTAAAAATCAATCAATCAATCAATCTATCAATCAATGGGAAACAAAGAAAATATCAGTAGAGAACTACAAAATAAAAGGTGACATGGCAGAATTTAATAAGAACCAAAGAAATTCTAAAACAAAAAAGTGGCCAAAATCAATAATTAAATGGATCAGTTTAATGGCAGTTTAGGCATAGTTGAAGAATTAGTAAAACAAAAAGATAGGTTAGAGAAAACATTGAGAATTAAAAAGATGGAAAAATGGGGGTGCCAAGCTGGTTCAGTCGGTAGAGTGTGCAACTCTTGATCCCAGGGTCATGAGTTCAAGCTCCATGTTGAGCATGGAGCCTCAAGATAGAAAAATATATAAGAGATTATAAAAGATATAGAAGATATTGTGAGAAGATCTAGCATACATATGATAAGGAGCTTCAAAAAGAAAGTATTAGGTAGAATTATGCCTTTTCCCCAAGAAGTCTATGTCCTAATTTCTCAAACCTGTGAATATGTTACCATACATGACAAGAGTAATTTTACAGATGTGATTAAGGATCTTGAGATGGGGAGATTATCCAGGTGTGCCCCCATGTAATCACAAGAGTCCTTAAGTGTCAGAGTCATACAGAGAGATTTGAAGATGTAACCCTGCTGGCTTTGAAGATGGGGAGAACAGGGCCATAAGCCAAGAAAGGTATATTCCCACACTGACTATAACCCAGTAAACCCATTTTGGACTTCTGACCCCTGGAACTACAACATAATAAATTTGTGCTGTTTTAAAAAAATTTTTTTTCAACGTTTATTTATTTTTGGGACAGAGAGAGACAGAGCATGAACGGGGGAGGGGCAGAGAGAGAGGGAGACACAGAATCAGAAACAGGCTCCAGGCTCTGAGCCATCAGCCCAGAGCCTGACGTGGGGCTCGAACTCACGGACCGCGAGACCGTGACCTGGCTGAAGTCGGACGCTCAACCGACTGCGCCACCCAGGTGCCCCAATTTGTGCTGTTTTAAACCACTAAGTTAGTAGTAATTTGTTATAACAGAAATAAGAAACTAATATGAAAAGAAAAGAGATAATGGGATAGAAGCAATACATGAAGATAATAATAATGGCTGATAACTTTCCAAAATTGAAGAAACCATTCCATAAGTTAAAGAAATATAATGAATCCCAAGCAGGATAAGTAAAAATGGTAACAAAAAGAGAGCTGAAGTGGCTATGTTACTGTAAGGCAAAATAGACTTTATATCAAAAAAAGTTACACAGGTCACGATCTCACAGTTCGTGGGTTCGAGCCCTGAATTGGGCTCTGTGCTCACAGCTCAGAGCCTGGAGCCTGTTTCAGATTCTGCGTCTCCCTCTCTCTCTGCCCCTTCCCGACTTGCGCTCTGTCTCCCTCTGTCTCAAAAATGAATAAACATTAAACAAATTTTTTTTAAGTTACAAAAAACAAAAACAAAAATAAATTAATTAATTAAAAGGGGCACCTGGGTGGCTCAGCTCGTTAAGCCTCCAACTCTTGATTGCAGCTCCAGTCATGATATCACGGTTCGTGAGACAGAGCTCCGTGTTGGTCTCGGTACTGGCAGTGCAGAGCCTGCTTGGGATTCTCTCTCTCCCACTCTCTCTGCCCTTCCTTCTCTCAAAATAAATTATCTCTCTTTCCCCCTGCCTCTGCCCTTCTCCCCTGCTCCCATATTCATTCTTTCTGTCTCTCTCTCTCTTTCAAAAATAAATAAATAAATAATAAACATATATGAACCTAACAACAAAGACCAAAAATATATGAAAGAAAACTGGACAGAATTAAAGAGAACAATAGACAGTTCTACAATAAAACTTGGGGAGGTCAATACCCCACACCTTTAATAATGGGTAGGACAATCAGATAATCAATAAGGAAATAGAGGACTTAGACAACACTATAAACCAACTAGATCCAACAGACAAATACTCCACCCAACAATAGCAGAATACACATTTTTCTCAAGTGCACATGAAATATTTCTCCAGTATAGACCATATGTTGGGTCATAAAACAAGTATTAATAAATTTTAAAAGGTTGAAATTACACAAAGTATCTTTTCTGATCACAATGGAACAAAACTGAAAATAAGTAACAGGAAAAAAAATGGAAAATTCACAAAATATGTGGAAGTTAAACAACACACTATTAAACAACCAATGGGTCAAAGAAGAAACCACAGGGAAATCAGAAAATACCTTGAGATGAATGAAAATGAAAACACAACATACCAAAATTTATAGAATACAGTGAAAGCATACTAAGAGGGAAGAGACAGCTGTAAACACACACACACACTAAACAAAACAAAACAAAACAAAAACAAACAAACAAAAAACACACCCATTAGGATAACTATTATGAAAAACAAAACAAAAACAGAAAATACAAGAGTTAACCAGGATGTGGAGAAATAGGGCCCTTGCGCATTGTTGGTGGGAATGTAAAATGGTGCAGTTGATGTGGAAAACAGTAAAGCAGTTTCTCAAAAAATTAAACACAGAATTACCATTTGATCCAGCCATTCCACCTCTGGGTTTAGCCCAAAATAAACGAAAGCAGGGACTCGAACAGATACTTCTACACTAATTCATAGTAGCGTTACTCATACTAGCCAAAACATGTAAACAACCCAAGGTCCATTAACAGATGAGGAGAAAAACAAAATGTGGTATTTCCATATAATTGAATATTATTTGGTCATAAAAGGAATGAAATTCTGATGCATGCTACAACATGGATTAACCTTAAAAACATTATGCTTGGTGAAGTAAGCAAAACTCAAAAGAACAAATATTGTATGATTCCACTTATATGAGGTACCTAGAATAGGAAAATTCAAGGAAACAGTGTAAAGGGGCACTTGGGTGGCTCAGTTGGTTAAGCTTCTGACTTGATATCAATTCAGGTCATGATCTCATGGTTCATAAGATGGAGCCCCAGATGGGGCTCTGTGCTGACAGTATAGAGCCTGCTTGGGATTCTTGCTCGCTTGCTCTCTCTCTCTCGCTCTCTCTCTCTGCCCTCCCCCACTTGCTCTCTCTATCCCTAAATAAATAAACAAACAAACAAATAAATAAACTAAAAAAAAAAAAAGAGACAAAGGGTGAAATAGAAGTTTCCAGGAGCTGTGGGGAGCAGGGAATGGAGAATTGTTGTTTAATTGGTACAGTGTTTCTGTTTGGAATGATGGGAAAGTTCTGGAAATAGAAAGTGGTAATGGTTACACAGCATTGTGAATGTATTTAATATCAGTGAACTGTACGCTTAAAAATGGTTAAAATGGAAGGCATCTTTGAGCTTACCAATTAAACATCATGAGCAAAGCTCACCCTCCCAAATTAAAAAAAGAATTATGGACAAGAAGTTATCGTTGAAATTAAATGGTGGCAGATATGTCCAAGGAATGCTGCAGGGATTTGATCCCTATAAGAATCTTGTAATAGATAAATGTGTGCAGATGATAACTAGCAGGCAACAGAACAATACTGGAATGGTGGTAATAGGAGGGAACAGTATAATCATATTAGAAGTCTTGGAACGAGTATAAACAAAGGCTGTGTTCACCAGAGAAATCAACTGCTTCCACTTGTCCCCTCTCCAAAGGATCCATTTTACTCTAATAGAAAAACTGGGTCATGTACATTTTCATATTGAAATTCTTTGTTAAATAAACTTTTGTGATAGTCAAAAACAGTTGACATGGCAAATCTTATGTGATGTATAATTTACCACAATAAAAAAAAAAAGAAGGTTTTACAATAGCCAAGGTATGGAAGCAACCCAAGTGTCCACTGATAGATACACAAAGAAGGCATAGCATACCTGTGCACACGTGCACATGCACACACACGTGCACAGGCGCACACACTGGAATATTACTCAGCCATAGAAAAGAATGAGATCTTGCCATTGGTGACAACATGGATGGACCTAGAGGGTATTATGGTAAATGAAATAAGTCAGAGATTTCACTTTTATGTGGAATCTAAAAAACAAACCAAAAAAAAACCAGACTCTTACATACAAGGAACAAACTGGTGGTTGCCAGAGGTAAGGTGGGAGGGGGGATGGGTGAAATAAAGGGAATTAAGGGGTACAAATTTCCAGTCATAAGATAAATAAGTCATGGAAAAGTACAACATAGGAAATATGCTCAGTAATAACTGTTGTATGGTGAAAGATGGTTACTACGATTATCGTGGTAAGCATCAAGTAATGTATACAACTATTGGATCCAAATGTTGTACACCCGAAACTAATATAATATAGTATGTCAATTATATTTCAATTTTTAAATAGGAGCTCTGAATCAGCCAGTTCACAGCTGCTGGGGGAATCTTTCCTCACCAGCTGTACATTCAACAGAACGGTCCTATAGGGACAGCAGGACTTGACCAGGGAGCACCTCCTTGCCCTTCCATGTTAACTTGGGTTACCTGGCATCAATGAATACTCTGGAGTGTCTGACCAAGGAGATGACTCTGGATAGAATCATCCCAAACCATCAAGCAAACCATAACAAATCGGATAGCCAGAGGCCTACCAGGTTATCTCAAACAAGTAAAAGGGCTCATTAATTTGGCAAAAGTTGGGCACCTAGGTTACTCAGTCAGTGAAGTGTCCCACTCTTGATTTCCGCTCAGGTCATGACCTCACGGTTCAGGAGATAAAGCCCAGCACCCAGCTCTGTGCTGACAGCGTATAGTCGGCTTGGGATTCTCTCTCTACTACCCCTCTCCTGCTTGCTTTCTCTCTCTCAAAATAAATAAATATATAAAAAATTTTTTAATCTTTTTTTTTTAATAAAAAAACAGCAAAAATTCACCTCCGACCAGATTAATAGTTTTGAGGTCACATCACTTTGCAAGCTGACCAAGAAATCCTCTACTCTATCCGCACTGAGCCAACTCTGTTACCCTGGACTCAGCTCAGTTGTTACCTCCTCTGGGAAGCCTGCCCTGACCTGCCTCTGCCCAGGTGGGGAATCTACCTTGGGGCTCCATCTAGTTCCGTCTTAATCACCTGTTTGGGCTCCGCCCAGAGACCCGACACCCCACAGTACTGTAGCCATACTAGGCCGAGCGCCCAGCCCCGACACAGCAGTCACTCACCACTGTAGGTGGAAGGTATGGCCGCAGTGGATGGCGGCCACATCTCGGGAGTGGTCGAAGAAGTCGGAGCAGATGGTGCACAGCGCACGGATAGGCATGATGATTGGTCCTAAGGGGGTCAGGCAGCCAAGGAAACCTCGACGGGTCCAGCTTTGCGACCGCGCCCCCACCCCCGTCCCCGCCTCTCCGCAGGCTTCAAATTTGGCTCCACTGCGGGACTTCCGGGAGCGGACCGGAAGTGGTGGCGGCAACGTAGAGGCGGAGCCTGAAGGCTGGGTCCCGATTGGACGAACCATAGGGGGCAGGGCTTAACGGCCGTAGAGAATCCTGGGGCTGAGCGCGAACCTGGGTCCGTCAGCGGTAACTATCTAGTGGTTCCCTTAAGGATTTGGCAGGTAGCGGCAGCAGCCACGCCACCAGCCGTTCCCCTTTCTGGAGGAAGACACGGCATTATGCTCCTAAGCCAGATCTGGTGCCAGGAACGCCGGGCACGGCGCTATTCTCTCAGGGTAGCCTTCTCTGCATTTCGGGAGTGTGGACAAGACCGAAGCTGTAGGGGAATGGGACGATGGAGATCAGTCCCCTGGGCTCTGGGCAGTGCTCAGCCGTACACCGGAAGCCCGTAGTTCCCGCCCTCTCAGTCCTCAGCTCTGAGTGATTTTAGAAAGATGGACACAGGTCTAACCACTCAGGACACCCTAAGCTCACTCTTGGCTTTATTCAAGCAAGTCATGATGATCCCTCAGTTTGGAGGTGGCAAGGCCTGTACCCTGACTTTAGCTCTTAGCTCCCAAGAGGATCAGCATGCCTCCGAACTGTACTAGGGTTGGAATTTTAGAAGCCCATATGCTTCACAGAACAGTGACTAACAAACCCTTTTTCTGATTGCCACATCAGAGAAGTTATCTTTGGAGTCCTCCCTGAGTAAGAGCAGCATCCCTGGTGAATTCACCTGGGCAAGTCAGGGCTGGAACAATTCTTCCTATGAGTTCTCATGCTTAACTCTTTTTTAGCAGTGTTAATACCCTCTCCCCAGAAGAAGCCTTCTGTAAAGCCCCATGATATAAAGCTTATTTTTCCACCTGAAGTAGACCCAGAGTGAAGTTCTTTGAGCCTATGTGGAAAGCACAGGTGTTGTTCACAGGGAGGAGGAATCAACACAAAGGGTAGCATAGAACCTTTGTGCAATGCCCACCCTGCACCCTCTCCCCAACTCTGGGAAGCCCACTTTGGCCATGGGCAAGGTCTCTACCTACGGTGGTTGCCCCATGGTGGCCTCCAGTTGTATGCCTAAGTCAAGACAAGGGCTCTTGTTCAACAGGACTTGTTAGAACAGCAGCCCAGAGGTTATTCTTTGGCACAAGCCCAGGAAAGGACTCCCCATCCATAAGGATTTCTAGAGTCTGGAGGACCCGCCACAATCAAGGAACACACAGTGGTAAAGGATGATCTGCACTCTCAGCCCAAGCAATCCTCATGGCACTGAGCACAGACCAATACCTGTGAACCTGCTCCCAGCCTCTTCCTCCCCATTGCCTTCCAGGGGCCCCTCCCCAGTAAGACAGAGGAAGCAACGGCGAGAGGATGGCCAGAGGCTTTGGCAGGGTGACATTTATTTGCCAGGTTCAGCAGGCACACAGTTAGCCTACCAACCTTCATACACCAGAGCAGACCCACAGGCATGCAGGGAGAAGGGCAGGACTGACACTGGAGTGCCGAGCAAAGGCCGGGACCAGTGTGGCTGCCTGCCCAAGCTGTGGTGGGGTCTGACAAAGGGCACCTGCCAGGAGCCTCGATCAGGAAACGGGGAAGCCTTATTCCACTTCCTCATCCCAGAAAAAGCAACTCAGCATGGCTCAGAGGCACCTGGACCTCTGTTTCAGCCATGATAGAAGGGGAAGTGGGTCACAGACGTTGAGGGGGTTCCTCTCTATTTTGTTGTTGGATTAGGAGGGCAGAAATCTGCCCCTATGAAGGGCAACCCCCTAAATCAGACTATGGGACACTGCCATGCAGCAGGCCCCCTTCAATGGAGAGGACTGTAGACTGAACCTAAGGGACTCCATCAGAAAAGAGCCAGGGGATACCAGCCCTCCCTGTTTGGCTCAGGGTAAGGACCAAGCTAGGCTGGTGCATGACGTGCTGGGCCTGCACTCTGCCTTCCAGTTTTCACTGCCACATCCCAACTGCTCCTCCTTCCCCTTACAGGCTCATGAAGCTCAGGGCACAGGGCAACCCACTGCAGAACCCAGGAGGGCAGGAAATAGCATAAGGGTGTTGGTGAGAACTTTCCAGGGACAAAGATGGAAGCTTCTACCCCCCCCCCACTCATTCTCTTTCACTTCTGAGGACCCCTAAAGCTACCAAGCAGTGCCCCCAACCATGCGACCAGTCTTGTCTTAAAGCATACTGCCCTAGATTTTTGAATTCTCTATACAAGCCTGTGTCCATTCTTAGAGCAGCCCACATACCACAGGCACATACCTTCATGTGCAGGAGCCTAAGACCGCTGACAGGGCCTCGCTGGAGGACCAGCTCTCAGGGCAAGGCCACCCAAGATTAGGGCCTGGGAAAGGATGGGACCTGCAGGGCCTGCCTGGGGAAATTGTGAGGCAAAAAGGGAAGGGGAAGGGAGCAGGGACCTCCTGAGTATCCCTAGAGCAGCATCCCGCAAGGAACAGAAACTGGTGAAGCTAGCGAAAGACAGAAAAGCCACAAGGAATCCATGCAGGGGCTGGGGCCGGTCCTGCCTCTGGCCTGCCCACCACTCACGCACATACACACAGGAGATGAGACTGCTCTCCCGTGGCCCCCAGACATGCCCCACACTAGGAGGCAGGGGCAGGGGGAGCAAGGGCATCAGGCCAATGACTCTATGTACAGTGAGAAGCCCCTCATCCACTCTCCCACCCTCCTGCCCATCCCCTGCCCCACACCAGACTGCCCACTCAGCTGGTCTCCTCCCTCCGAGACTCCTGGGCATAGCCAGCAGCCTCTTCCCCTTTACTAGAGGGTGGAGCCTGGCCTGTTGTGCCCCCAGGGGCTGTGCTGTCCGGCTGGGCCAAAGCCGGCTCAGGGGTGGCAGCTGCCTTGGTGGCCGGTGTGACACTGCTTTGAGTGGTGGGCATGATGCTCTCTTCTGTGGCTGGTGTGGCTCTCCCGTCGGTGGCTGGAGTAACACTCCTGTCGGTAGCTGGGGTGATGCTCCCATCGGTGGCTGGGGTGATGCTCCCATCGGTGGCTGGGGTGACACTGCCATCAGTGGCTGGGGTGACACTGCCATCTGTGGCTGGGGTGGCACTACGGTCTGCGGGGGCTGTATTATCACTCTTTGCAGCAAAAGCAGCATCACCCACTGTGGCTGAGGTGGCACTGCCCCCAAGGGCTGGGGCAGCTCCACTTGCAGCTGTGGCCCCACCTGCAGCCCCAGCGGTGGCAGTGTCTGTGGCTGGGGCAGACTGGGCTGTAGCTGTGCTGGACTGCTCTGGTGCCCGGAGCCGTTTCATGAGGGTGGTCACTCGGACAGCCTTCTGAAAGGAGGGCAGTGGAGAGAGGCTCAGAGTGGGGCTCACAGAAGCTGGATCCGTTCCTTCGCAAAGGCCAAACACAGACCATTCTATGGCGTCCCTGGCTGCCTCTGACCACCCGAGGGCCAGGGACCCAGCTGTTCAACACACCCACTTAAGGTAGTGACAGTGGCTACAATCACACCTGATAGCTGAAGAAACGCCTGTGTGTGGCTGCAGGGATATGATATAGGCAAGAAACTGTGTGTGCCAGAAGGAGCACTTGGGATCAATCCAAGAAAGGGAGTCATCCAACCCTTACCTTCCACTTAGCCCTGGCAAAGTTCTTTTCAATCTGGGCGCAGACACCATCCTTGATGTTCTTATCAGAAGCAGCATTGCCAGAAATCCTAGAAAGGGTACAGATGCATCTGGATCTGAGGGTGTATAGGCCTTCAGGGAGACTGCCCAGTCCTTTTCTCTTAAGATCCAGAAGTTACCAGGCAGGCCTCTGGGCTGGGCCTGAGCTCTGGGCACCCCCAACCCCTACTCAAAGCCTCAAGGATGGGGGCTACTAGATGTGAGGAGGACAGAGGCCAAGGGAAATCTGGCCTCTCCTTCTGTCCTCCATGGGCCCTGCTCACCACTCATGGGAGATGGCCTCTTCTGCAGTGATGCGCTGGTCTTGCTCCACCTCCATCAGCCTTGTGACCAGGTCTTTGGCTGGGGACAAAGCCAAGGAGAGGTGAGGCATTGGCACCTCATATCACTGTCTAGAGGTGATGAATAGGCTGGGAGGTAGGAGTAGAGTCCAGCAGAGAAGGCTGAGAGCAGGTCCCCCATACCAATCCTCCCGCTACCCACACACTGGGCACCTCCTCACCTGCCTGGGAAATGTCATCCCAGTATGGAGAGTCAAACTCGTAGTCGCCAGCTAGGATCTTGCGGAAGAGGTTCTTGTCGTGGTTCTCATAGTCATCTTCCTCCACCTCCTCATAGAAAGGTGGGTTCCCTGAAAGCCTACATGGGGGCCAAAGGGCAGGGTCACTAAAGAAGGCCATGGACACAGAACCCCACCTGGCCTGGCTACAAACCCATTCACTCACAGGATGTACATGATGACTCCAATGGCCCAGCAGTCCACGGGGCGTCCATACCGCTGCCGGCCTACCACCTCTGGGGCTGCAAACACAGTGTCCATCTGGTGGTCAATATCAGGCCTGGCCAAGCCTGGGACCGCTCATACCCACTTCCTGGGTTGGAGACTTCCTTCCCCCTACCCAGAGCCACTCCTTGAAGGTTGTCCCCCACCCTGTCCCTGCCCCACCCCCTGCTTGCCCAGGTACTCGGGAGTCCCACAGGGCTCCTTGATGAGGCCATTCTCTAGCTTAGCCAGGTGGAAGTCGCTGATGACAATCTTTGAGTTCTTCAACCGATTATAGTAAACCAGGTTCTCCAGCTGCTCCGGGCAGGAATGACATGTGGGTGGGCAGAGAAAGACTCCATGAGGACCTCAGAGGCTAGACCAAGACCCCAAGGTGCTGCCCACCTCAGCCCTAGGCCGGGTGCCAACAGACCTGGCTCCTGGCCTCACCTTGAGGTTCCTGTGCACGATCTTGAGTGAGTGCAGGTAGGCCACGGCCTCCAGGACCTGCCGCACCACATTGCTTGTATCTCGCTCCGAGTAGTAGCCCTGGTCCAGGATCCAGTCAAACACCTCCCTCCCCGTGGCCCTGAGGGACACCAGCCCCTGAGCCCGCGTGGGCAGGATCGGGGGTGGGGCAGGAGTA